TTAAGACTTACTGGGGATGATGTTTTGGTGACTGGGGCGGGGGATGGGGATATCTTGGAGGGGAGAGCAAGTATCTGAGTACTTCAAGTCCTTCATGTTCCCCCTTGAGGCAATGACGCCTGCTCCGTAGGGGGTCTTTGTTGCCATTCGGTTTCCAGTCAACAGTTTTTTTTCCTCACAGCTGGCAGCTCTGACCCCCACACTTCACACAGCCAGGAGGAGAGACTTGCTGGCCTCTCTCCCTGTAGTCCAGCAGCCCCCATAGCTGGGAGATCTTGAGCAGAGTTTCTGAAGAGGTGGGGGGGCACACAAAGAATCTGTGGAGCCTCTAAAGGGGCTTTAGACTTCGTGCTCACAAACAGTACGCAAGAATCCACAGCTCCTCCACACAAGAGAGCCACCAAGAGAAAACCTTGTTGCCACTACAAGGTTACTCTCCCTGTGAGGAGGGTTTCTTGGCTTCCGAGGGGGACTGTGAAAGGCATGGGAACAATTTTCCAGGGCCAGGCTGCAAGGGAGATGAAGCACAGCTCATCTCTTACCCTCAGGTGGAGGAGTCGCTGGGCAGTTTACCGAACTGTGAAATGCATATTGGCCGCAGGAGAGCATAAGCAAGATACAGAAAACCACAAACACCCCTCCCCTTTTAAATGACACACGCTCCTTCTGTGTGCTTCAGACTAATGGAGTGAAAAAATGCTTGGCCAGGGCCAGCGGTGAGAAACCATTGTCCTTCCTTGCTGAGAGAGGAAAGGTCTTCTCAGAGAGGCAGGCAGTGTACAGGCAGACAGCAGCATTTCAAGGCCCAAGGCCCTTTCCTCTATTTCTGAAGGAGAGCCAGGGTGGGAGCCACAGAGAGAATGGTTGGAATTTGTATTGCTTATGTTTTCGTTTCTTTCAAAAAATGACCCACAAAAGACTCTCTTTTGGCTCAGAGATTAAACGGGTCCAATCCATGCTGGAGGGGAAGGTGGAGGTGTTCATAGTGGCCGCAGCAGGCAGCTGAGACTCCACAGTGGGGAAACCAGAACTCATGCAGCAGGGACACCGGCCTTGGTATTTTCATTGTTATTCAACCCTGGAACCCAGTCCATGTAACGACACCTGTCCACACTCAAGGCCAGCCCTTCTCTCCTGGGGTAATTGTTTCTGGAAACTTCCTCCTAGACGCCCTGGAGATATGTCTCCCAGTGGATTCCAAATCCAGTCAGATGGACAGTGAAGATTAACCGTCTCCAAGTAGCTAATCCCAGTGTGATCAATGACTTCGACACGATCTTTCTGTGGCATGTCTGAGGGCCTGAGCATCATCCCTCCCCACCAGGCCTCTGTCTACTGACTTGGTCCCTGTGCTATTAACACCACGGACCTAGAGCAAGCTGGGGAGACAGGGCCTGTTTCATCCCACAGCTTAGGGTCCTATAATTGTTGAAGACAGACAGGAACTCAAGGCAGGAAGTGACGCAGAGGCAGAAAGAAATGTTGCTTACTGCCTAGCTCTCATGGCCTTCTCAGCCTACTGTCTTCTAGAACACAGGGCCACCTGCCCAGGGACGGCACCACCCCAGTGGGCTGGGTCTTCTCAGCCTACTTTCTTCTAGAACACAGGGCCACCTGCCCAGGGACGGCACCACCCCAGTGGGCTGGGTCCTCCGCCATCAATCTATCATCAACAAAACATGCACACCACTCTGATGGAAGGATTTCCTCCACTGAGGTTTCCTCTTCCCAGATGACCCTAGCTTGTGTCAAGTTGACAAAAAAGTAACTAACACAGGCCCGAGCTCAGCTGGGAAGGTGAGTTCCATGTCATCACTTCCCTGTTCCTAGTCCAACCTCACATGCAGGGCTTAGAAGTTTCAACTCCCAGGAGAAAGGCAGTCTGCCCAGTGGTTATGCCTTCTTAGTTTGTAAACTCCTGCATGTCCCTGTGTATGTGTGTGTGTGTGTGTGTGTGTGTGTGTGTGTGTGTGTGTGTGTGTGTGTGAGATTAAACAATGAATGTCTGTTGAAATATTTGGTGAAATTTGGTTCCACTCAGTAGCTGCACTAGAAATCCAGAAGCAGAGGTGGAGAACGGCCACTGGACTGAGCCATGAGGACCCTTCACATCAGCTCCTCTTTCCAGAAGACCCATTCTGAACAACACCTTCCAAGATGACGGTAACCATAGCCATAGAACTACCAGCCCACTGCCCACAAGGTGCTCACTGGTATTTTCAGGACTACATTTTGTTTTCCAAAGGATGTACTCTGCTGCTGATCTCAACTCTTGCTACAATCACCTATCACAGTCCTTCTAGGCCAGCAATTCTCAACCTGTGGGTCATGATTCCTTTGTGGTTGCATTTCAGATATCCTACATGTCACATATTTACGATTCATAACAGTAGTAAAATTAGAGTTATGAAGTGGCAACAGAATAATTTTATGTTGGGGTCACCACAACACAAGGAACTGTATTAAAAGTTTGCAGCATGAGGAAGGTTGCGAACCACTGTTGTATTCTAGGCTTTGGTGGCCCTGTCTCCTGCCTCCCAGTCTACAGAGCCACAGCGTCATGGCTCCACAGAAGACACTTTCCTCTGCCCCTCCCACTCCCACTCACAAGTGACTCCCTGTACTCTCACCAATAACACTGCTGTTCTCCTGGCCTGGGATCCAGAACATGGCCAGTGCAAGTGTGGGCTCTTCTTAGGACCCAGCACTTGAGGAGTTTGTCCAGGGGTTCCCACAGCTCTGTGGATATGTTCCCCCTAGCTTTCTAAAGGAAAACTCAAAATAAAATTGCATGCATTGAGTATGTGACACAGTGTGATGTGACTGCCTACTATCATCAACCTAAATAGCACATCAGTAACCCCGCAGAGTCACATTATTCTTCTGTGGTAAAAGCATTTAAGATCTTCCACCATGCACATTTCCAGTACGCCGTGAAGTCTTAAACACATATGTGCAGAACATATGTGTTTGATAGAGATTTAAATTTATAATTTTGTATCATATAGGAACCAAAATAGACAGTGTTGATGTGGGTAAATAAGTTCTATACAGCTAACACAACCTTATGATCTATTTCACACATCACATACAGCACACAGACAACGTATAACTAAACATGCTAACAAAGCAGGATCACCAAGGAATACATTATAGTCTTATAATAAAAAATAAGCTTGTGCCCTTAGGCTGTCATTTATATGGGCACCTTCCCACTTGCCATCCCTTCCCACCCCCACTTTGCTGGCATCCACTTCTAATGCATTCTTTCTCTTGTGAAAGCAGGTAACACATTCTTTTGTTTTGCTGTTCCCATGTTGTAAACAACAGTCAACTCTTAGACCTGCCAAGATTTCTGTCTGTCTGTGGCAAAATGATGTTTCATTTTCTATGTACATATGTCTATGCGCATAGAGAGGAGTGTTTTTTACAGATGCTGTGGATTGAACGTCAGTCTTTACACTTGCTAAGTAAGTGCTCTCTCAGTTGGCTCTATTCCCAGACCATTTTCAAGCTGAAAGAAATGTAACTGTATCTCACTAATTTGCACACCATTTGTGTTTCAGCTCTTTCTGTAGCCCAGGGAAGTCATCAACTTGTTATCCTTCTGGCTTAGCCTCCCAAGTGCCTGTAATTGTAGGGTTTGCCCTCGGATGCAGGTTTATTCCAGATCTATTTATGCACGAGCAGACATTTAGATTATATTCCTGGATCAGGTACTGTAGGTAATGCTTCAGTCATCGTGGCAATACAGACACTGCTTGGAGTGACTGGTCTGAGGTCTGTCGTCTATACTGCCAGTGCAGGTACAGTTAAGAGGCATGGTGGAGCCAGGTGTTGGTGGCACACGCCTTTAATCCCAGCACTCGGGAGGCAGAGCCAGGCAATCTCTGTGAGTTCGAGGCCAGCCTGGGCTACCAAGTGAGCTCCAGGAAAGGCTCAAAGTTACACAGAGAAACCCTGTCTTGAAAAACAAAAAACAAAAAAAAGAGGCACGTTGGTTCTGGGCAAGGGGTAATGTTGCTCCTTGTTGACACTCACTCCCGTAGTAAGCCCAATACAAAAAGGTGAGATGACCTCTCCCTGTGAATTTGATTCACATTCTCCAGACGATTATTATTGCCAAGCACCTTTGTCTATATCTGGGGCCATTTGGACATCTCCTTTCTAACAATGCCTACACAGGTCGTTAGTCCATTTGCAAACAGGGATATCTGTGGGTTTCCTTTGCTATTG